ATCGACGATCAGTTCTACCTGGGATCTTCAGGTCTGCTCATCAAGCCTATCACAAGCGAGGGCGCGACGTCTACGGATATCTACTTGGCCGACAAGGCACCGTATTATGACTACTTTGACTACACAGTATACCAAGGTGCTGGGAAACGCCACACCGTTGACGCGCCCATAGACAAAATTCCTGTTCTCATGCAGGCCGGTCACATCGTTACGCGCAAGGATCGACCTCGCCGCAGTAGCGGACTCATGAAATACGACGATCTCACCTTAGTCGTCGTACTGGATCAGAATGGGGAGGCTCAGGGGACTTTCTACGAGGACGATGGCGATTCATACGATTTCGAAGCGGGCGCATACATACACCGTCGGTTCTCATTCGCAGATGCACGGATGGTGAGCGAGAACCTCGGTCAGGAAGGTGCCAAGACGGCCGATTACTTGCGCACTATGGGGACTGTCCAGGTTGAGAAAATCATCATCGTTGGCGTTCCAAGCACATGGAGTCAGAAACATCTGGTATCCGTCGCTGTCGGGAGCCAAGCAGCTGTGCAAATCGGCTTGCAATATCACGCAGCGGAGGGTAGAAGAGCAGCATACGCTGTGGTGAAGAATCCGGCGGTACCCATCGGAACATCTTGGGTTATTGACTTCTCATAGACCGACAGCCAGCGGCTGGCTGACTGCCTCCAGTCGCCATTCCCTGTCAATGTTATCTGGCGCTGGCGCAGCGACACCGTCGGTGGTCTCTCGCACTGTGCTTCGGTTAGGCCTCCTGTCGGCAGCATTGTCCCTCCTCGATCGCGCTTCGAGCAGCAAGTTCTACGCAACGCAGTTGTCATTCCGTGTAACTGATAGCGGCAGTAGCACATCGCATTCGGATTGCCATAGCCGCGGAATTGAGTGGTGATCAAGATGGCACTCCAACAGTGCAATTCCACGCCGGTGCCGCTCCTTACTGCCATGACACTGCCTCCAAGCTGATACTCAATAGTGGTGGGCACGCAGAAACGCGCAAGTGATCGCTGTCCTTGGCCTTTGGAGGTCCACGATTCAGTCGCAAAGACCGCACAGAGCAGTGTGTGACGCCAGGCATTGCTGCCGTGTGAAAAGCCATGCACAATTGCGAACTGATGGCACAGGCACGTGTCCACCTAGCAGATGTGGAATTCGCCCACCGTGCTGGCAGCAGCACCTACCAAATCCTAGATGCGATATCTGAAACCCCCCATGATAGCTTCAGAACGCGATGTGGCATCTCCACTCTGAGACACCTGGATGCTGGGCAGACGGCGGTGGTTCAGCACCAGTGTCAGAGTCGGTCCTGATCCAAGAGACCTGAGCGTGCGAGTCTACTCTCGCCAAACGCCCCCTCGAGGCTGACGAGCAGCAGTTCGGGCCACCTGAGTTGCCCCACGATATTGCAACAAACAACAGTACCGTGAACGCGTGGGGCTGTGCTGTCATTTGACTGAGAGCTCGTCAGGTACGCGCGTGCGCAATGCATCACTGGAGCAATCGTGCTCATCCGGCTGTGATGCCGGGCGCTGATGATGCGGCTTTCGCATGCAACATACGTCAGGTTCCCCGCCAATCGATGTGACGGAACCGGCTGGCGCTTCATGGCGCTCTGCAAGCCGTCTCAAAAGTCAACTTCACAACCGAGCGGACTGCATGCTCGTCCTTCGTCCCGTCTCCGGGCGTAGGTGGTCCAGCATCGGCAGCATCAAGTCAGGATATCTGCTCTACTGTCCCGACTTTCTCACTGACGGATTGGCTCCGGCACCTGGGAAGGCAGGGCTACAGTGACCGATGCTGCCGGACATGATTTTGATGCAGCTGAAGCTAGCACACAGCGCCATCAACTGCGCCCGTAGCCGCCGCTCGCTCACGTCTGCTGTGAATGGAAACGAATGGCCACGAGACGCATCGATCGGGTGTCAACCATGCGTGCCCTGACGACCTGACAGTATGGCCAGTGCCTGCGTCGTGGCTGCGTTTGAGAATCGCACCGTCACTATGGGTATCATATCTGTCGAAATCAGTGTGTGCGACTGAGCCCGTGTAGGCTGTGGAACGTCTAGACAGATATGATGCTAGTCGGTCCATGAGGGGTGCGCCAACCCCAGGCCGGCGACAAACCCGACACGAGCTCAGCCATGCGGGGACAAGGCCGGTTGATGCAACGTCCCTGTCTAGTTGCCGGCTCGTCATTGGTGCCGGTTTCTTTACTCCACACTCAACATGGTCCTACGTCTACCCCAGCGATAACCCCGCAGCTGACACATGAAGTCCCGAGCGAGCGAGCTTTGACATCATGAGTATCAGTCAAGCCTGGATATCCATCGCTGCAGGCCGTCAATCGCAGTGTGCGTCTGTCTGCACGCCCCTGCTCGCTGGGCTCTGGGCGCAAGAGCAGCTTACACCGCCAGCAAAGCCCGGTGCGCCAATGCTGCGACTTGCTACCTTTGCCATTGCACCTCAGCACCCATTGGCATCTGGACTGGCATGTTGCCGCACTTCGGTTGCACATATCCGCACGGAATACTCTTGGGGCACACGGTCTGATGATGCGTCAGGATCCGAAAATAACGGAACATGAGAAGGCCTCTACGTTTCTTGCTCACGTCAACTCGTGAGCATGGCTATAAATGTGGGGATTTCACATGCGCCGGCTCCTGAGCCGAGTCAAAATCGCCGGTCTCGTGCTGCTCTCCATGTGCCAATCAGCCTGGCCCCTGCGAATCCCAGGAGTGAGTTGACCCGCCTGCTACAGGTGCCGAGAAGCACTCATATATTCACCATCTGCGTTACCAGCACTCAATCACCCTCCGTCTCAACGATTTCAGGCCATCTCTCTCAAACATTTCGTCACAACTTATTCTGTTGACAGGCGCTCCCACACTCCTGCATTGCAAGTCGACCATTTCAGGGTGCCTGGGAGCCCAACCCCCTCGTGCCGGTTGAGGTGTCTCGCAATGTGGGGCGAACTTGAAATGAAATATAAGGCCTTGGCCGTTGTGCTGGCGCTGCCGGCAACGGTCGTCTTGTGGACGATTTGGCGTGTGCTGGCACATCTTTACGTCAATCGCAAGATCAAGGCTCTTGGAGGGACTCGAGCCCCTCGTTACTCTCTCACCTCATTTGCCTGTGAGCACAGCAGTCGGCTCAGGTTTATGTCATTGGTGTAGGTGGCTGACTGTCGTGTCAACAGGCTACAACGGGCTCATTGGCAGTGGCAAGGCGCTCCTCGAGAACCGCCTTCTGGAGCACCTCGAAAAAAACTTTGAGAAATACGGACGTCCCGGCAACGCACACGTTTTTGAGGGTGCTCCAGCTGGTCTGCGCCGTTACATCGTCACTCGTGAGCCGGAGCACGCCAAGGCTGTGCTGACTGGCCAGTTCGCCGATTATGGCAAGGGCAAATTTTTCCACGACACTTGGGCGCCTTTCCTCGGTGACAGCATCTTCACCACGGATGGGAAGCTCTGGTCCAACAGTCGAACGTTGCTGAGGCCGATGTTCGCGAAGAATCGGGTCCGCGACCTGGAGATCTTCGAGGACCACATCCAGAAGCTGATAGCGCTGCTGCCTCCTCCCGGCCAGCAAGTCGAGATCATGGACCTCTTCTTCCGCATGACGATCGACGTAACCACCGAATTTCTGCTGGGGACGCCCATCCACAGCTTGGAAAATCCCAAGACGGAGTTCGTTGCTGCTTTTGCAGAGGCTCAGAGGGTGCAGATGCTCATGACTTGCATGGGCCCAGCTCATGGTCTGTGCCCTCGAGGAAGTTACGATCGCAGCCTCAAGGTCATCAACGAGTTCATCTGGCCTTTCGTGCACAAGACCCTCACTCTGCCCGAGGATGAGCTGCACAAGCTAAGCCGCTCGGAGAAGTCGTTCAGCTTCTTGCACTCCTTGGCCCTCTACACTCGGGACCCAAAGGTGATCCGTGACCAAGTCATTGCAGTCCTGCTCGCGGGTCGCGACACGACAGCATCAACACTCTCCTGGGCCTTCTATGAGCTCTCCAACAACCCCCAGGCATGGGCCAAGTTGCGGAATGAGGTGCTTTCAACTATCGGCGACACGCGGTCCCCAACTTTCGAGGATCTGCACAGCATGAAGTATCTACGTGCTGTGGTTGACGAGACCTTGCGCTTGTACCCAGCTGTGCCGTTCAACATCCGCTTTGCTCTGACCGATACGACGCTGCCCACTGGTGGTGGGGTTGACGGTAGTCAGCCCCTGTCCGTGTGCAAAGACGATGCTGTCATCTACTCAACACTGGCTATGCAGCGTCGCCGCGACCTCTACCCAGAGCCGTCTGAGACTTTCGCCGATCCGCTTGTCTTCTCGCCAGAGCGGTGGGAGGTCTGGTCGCCCAAGCCGTGGCAGTATATCCCATTCAATGGCGGTCCTCGCATCTGCATTGGACAGAACTTCGCGCTGGCTGAGACTAGGTACGCTATCGCTCGCCTCGCGCAACGCTACGAGAGTTTGAGGTACATCGGCGACTGGCACGCGCAGAAGTACAAGACGGAGGTTGTGGGCGCTCCGGCCTTTGGAGTCCCCGTTGCGTTCGGAAAAATCAATCAGGCGCAGGCCGTCACCGCCGAGAAGGCATAGGGGTTGTCTCTTGTCAACATCGGGTTCTGTCACCAAGTGCAGGCAGCCCATCGCTGTTCATGTGTGTAAATGGATTGTCAATCATCGATGCCATATGACAGTTAGCTCAGCTACAGCAATGATTCAGTGATGTCGCCCGTGACTCCGCCTCACAGGCCCGCTGTCACACTGCGGTCTGAAGGTGACTCAGGGGGAAAGGGGGCAGCGGTGTCAAAAGGTAGGCTTCGGGTCTAGGTACCATGGTCTAGGTCCGCTCAGCGCCCACCGGCCTGTCGCTAGGCATGGCAGGCGGCATACGGCAAAGGCATGTGAGGGCTTCACGGACTGCAAGTGAGCAGCGGTTGTTGTTGAACGGGTTGCAAAAGATCGAGCGTCCCCGGGAAGGCTCGAACTTCCAACCTCCTGATTGAACCAACTTTCTGATTAACAGTCAGACGCGCTAACCAATTGCGCCACGGAGACGTGAACTAGCGTACTTTCGCAACTGTCAATAAGGCCCGGTCCTAGATCACGAACTACTCGGTACGAAGCTAGATCGGTCAGCCGCCGGCGACGCTGACAGTTGCGGACGCGTATAAGACTGAGAGAGAGCCGGAGCCGGAATTGTAGCCCCTGAACCTCATGTCGCACAAAGCACCGCCACGAAGCATCTCGAGAGAGTGTCAACGAAGAAGGCAGAGTGGCAGAGGCCCGTACGCAACGAGCTCGCTATCCGAACCGATGCTTGGAGTGTCTGCAAGGTCAGCATCTGTACGCTGCGCGTGGCGCGCGCGTCCATTTGCCACTTCGGTTACGCGTGCCGACACCACGCGAAGGGGCGTGCCCACTAGAACCACTGATCAGCGAGGGCCAGGGCCACCGCCTGTTGCGGATCTTCGTGGTGCCTCCAAGTCCAGTGAGAAGTCGCAAAGTGCAGCTGAGAACGCTTTCGCGATGCCGGTGATCAAGCGGACCTTGGACACGGTCCACGAGGAGACCACGAAGAAGGCCAAGGTCGGGAGCAGCATCACTGCGTTTTTCGGAGCACCAAAGCCAAGTGCAGCCCCCGTTGCTGAGTCTCAGGTACGAGAGGCGGCGGAGCAGAAGAAGCGCGAATGGGTAGCTAGCCTCACGCCAGAGCAGAAGCAGCTACTTGATTTGGAGATCAGGACGCTTGATCCTGAATGGACCATTGCATTGCGACACGAGCTCGTCAGCGACTACTTCTTGGAGTTGAAACGCTTCTTGAAGAAGGATGGAGAGCGCTTCATCATATATCCTCCAGCCGAGGATATATATGCGTGGTAAGTGATGTTCGTCCTGTCAGCGAATGCAGGTCGCTGCATTGCCCATGCTGAACTCATCTCCGTAGGTCGCGCCTTACGCCGTTACACGCCGTGAAGGTCGTAATCCTTGGTCAGGACCCTTATCACAACGTCAATCAGGCTCATGGGTTGTGCTTCTCAGTGCGCCCGCCGACGCCTGCACCACCGTCGCTCAGGAATATATTCTTCGCCATCGAGCGGGACTATCCTGACTTCAGACGGCCTTTGAACAATGGCGGCCTTCTCACCCCCTGGGCCTTACGAGGCGTCTTACTCCTGAACTCAAGCTTGACCGTCCGCGCACATCAGGCCAACAGTCATGCGCGGCATGGCTGGGAACAATTCACACAGAAGGTCATTGACCTTGTCGCCGATACGCAGAAGCGAGGCGTCGTCTTCATGGCCTGGGGGTCTGCAGCACAACAGCGGACTGCCAAGGTTGACCAGAACCGACACCTAGTGCTCAGGTCGGTGCACCCAAGCCCGCTGAGCGCATACAAAGGCTTCGTGAGTTCCTTCTCCCAAGTACCTTGCACTGACTAGTCGCACTCTCCGGTTCTCTGACTCACCGTCTCAACGTAGATGAATTGCGGTCACTTCAAGAAGGCCAACGACTGGTTGGCTCAGCGCTATGGCGTAGAGACCGGCCCCATCGACTGGTCCCTTGTGCCCTCGGATAAGACAACGATTGCTACGAGGAAGCACGAGGAGGTCACTGTTCGTCAGGACCCGTCAGCGACAGCTCGATCGGTCTCCTCGCAAACTACCACGCAAATTGCCGGCCCGAGGAAGCCCTCCAACACGAGCAGTGACAAGATCAGCGAGTATGACGACGACGAACTTGAGGAGCTACTGGCTAGCCAGTCAGATCTGAAGTGAAGCGGCCGAACATGGTGGCTCACTCCATCAGTGGACCTCATGGCGTGTTTGCAGATGCCAAATGCGTCGCTACACGTTGGCACATTGTAACATCGAAGTGCTGTTCAGAGCTGCGGACGTATGCGCTCGTGCTGCTGTTGCCATTGACGCTATCATGACGTGGGCTGCACCAGATACCGATCAGCAGTACAATGCCGGCACGTGCAGGCATGGATGCGCCTTCCTGTCAGCCAGCATGCACATTCTGCTGCGCGTGGCACCATCCGGATAGATGCGCTGTCTGAGAAACGCAAACTTGAAAGTGGCAAACACATCAGTTCGGAATGAGCAGTTCACAGACTGCTGTGTTTTGACTCATAATCCCGACAGCAGCTACGCCCGGCCCGCGACCAGCATGCATCTGTGAGTCCTCATCAGTGGCGTGAGCGACGTCCCCAATCCATTCTGAATCATCGCAGGCATCGCGAACACCATTGGCACCTACGACGACCGCGACCCCGAGATGACACTCAAGTACCGATGCTTTGTCTGTGGGGGACGAAGCATGGAATGGCATTCAGTAGCGAGCCATGAGAGGGGTAGACAACACTTGAGCAACGCGCAATCCAAAATCCATGACGCTCTGAACAGTTTCTTCAGCAGATACTCAGACTTCACCATCGTCAAGAGTCAGTCGGCGTCAGAGACATTCCAAGCGCTCCGAGAGTTCTACGGTTGGACCGATGGCTGTCAGTCGAAAGGGTACAAGAATGCCCTGAAACACCTGTACAGAATCATCCTCTATCCCTACAAGCACTGGACGGAAGCCACAGACGACTTGGCGCATTGGCATTCGCTGTGCCGAGCCGTAGGTTTGAAGGACATGCCTGACACGAAAACTCAGTGCAGGAAGGCGAGTCTGCGATTGTAATGGTCCGCGCGGTTGCACTATGTTGACTTTGCCACCACCAGGCGCTATCTCGCGTACACGCGAATATCGTGGACGTCTTGCTTGCCTTAATCAGCGCCGAGCCGGTTCCACGCTTCAACTCACCAAGCGCGCTGCGTAAATACACCAAGGAAACAGGGAAACGCTTTGACAAGAGTCTGCTGGAGTCAGGCTGTCCCCTCAGATGTCTTCTCAAGGTCATGTACTGAGTTGAACCTCATGTCTCGCCGTGGCGGTGGCGGCTAGAAACAAGCATTGAAACTCTGCGTGGCAGGGTAGCCCACGCAGAGTAGCTTTAGATTATGACAATCACACCCACGGGATACACTGGCGTGGTTCTGACGACCTCCGGTCAGCAACGCTCGTCTCCTTCAAACCATCGACACAATGAGTGCAATCCGTGATATGGCAAGTACATTTATGTACAGTCAGGTCTAATCGTGTCTAGGGTAGTGCTATAAGATGCGTCAAATCTATGCTGAAAGCCAGCGAAGTCATGCTGCTGGGTACGCTATGCTGCTTCACTTTGGCGGGTGAAGGCACGACCAGGGGCCGAGGGAGTTGTGCTCAGTTATGACCACAAAGGGGGATAGATATATTCGGAAGCCCTTCCCAGCAAGTTCGTGAGGTTCGTGTCGTTACTGGCGACGCTCCCTGGCGTTGGAGGCTGTGGAGGAGAGCCCTGTGCCGATGGATTTACCTGTCTCGCGAGACTGGACATACCCATTGCACTCTCAGTTACACTCGGCAAACCTGAGGACTGTAGCGAGCAGGACATGTCCGGTCTCAGTACTTGAGTCTTGCATGACGATGCTTCCCCTTCCTCGGTGTATCGTTGACCGTCTTGCTTTGCCAAGGCTGCGTTCAGCTTGTGCAGCGTTCGCAGTGTTTTTGTCAGGGGCGTCGTCCACTGCGCCTGCTGCGGTGGTGGCACGGGCAAAGGCCCACCCGAGCTGGCAAGCCAGTACGGGTCGAAGCCGGCTGTTGCACAGGGCATGGACGCGTCCATGGTTGGATTCAGCATGCGAAATGTCTCCGGGGACGATGCAGCGGTGCCGATTGACAGCTCCGGCTCTGTAGCGTTGTCTTCGCGAGCGGCTTTCTGGGCCAAGACCGTCTCCAGCTGACGAAGGAGGTCGCGAGCTGGGCCATGAGCTCTGGCTTCACCGAGGACAACCAGGAGAAATGCACTGCTGATTGCTCTTTGCAGAGCCGTCCAGGAAACCGAAGCGCTTGGAGAGATGTTGTGCAGTTCAATATATGCCTCGACCGTGCGGGTCAGGGCGTTGATACAGTCGTGTCGCAGTGACTTGGACTCCGCCTCACTAAACTTAGTGTGCGGTCGTAATGAGGCCCGACACAGCTCTGACGAGATGAAAGAAGAGTGAAGTTTCAGTGCGAGCCGCTCCAGGTGCTGGACAGGGGTCGCGCAGAGAGTTCGGTCTCGCAGGTGCGGTAAGCCGTCAAGGAAGATGCTGCGAATTTCATCGTGGTACTGTTTAATCATGGCGAAATCCATGTGACTGTGTGGCGAAATCATACGAGCTCGTACCACGCTCAGCGTCACCGAGATCAACCGACAAAGGGACTCGAAGTATGATCGATGACCAGGCTTTGAGTCGGGCGCATATGGGATTGGCGGTTGGCTGAACGCCATGGAGCTGGGTCGATCATACGACAGTGAGAAATGACTGTCCTGCCAAGCCATGGACCACCTGTCGCAAGACAGTCAGAATGTGGTGTTACATCACTCTGCTCATGCCAGACTCACCAGACACTCTGCCGCTTCAGTCGCTCCTTCGGCGGAAAGCGGTGCGAGTCCGCCTGCAGGCCCGTAACGAGTGTCAACCTGATAGTCATACCCAGAATGACATAGGAGACACCGGGATTCATGTTGTACGAGAGGACACTGCCGATTATCAACATCGTCTCAATCGCCTCGAGTGTCGGTTGCGACATGTAGTTCTGTGCGCGTAGGCATTGGTACGAGCAGCAGACTGGCAATCCAGTCAGCGGTAGAACCCTTCTCGACAAGAGACGGCATAGGACTCACCGTATACCTGTGATGTCAGACTCTTTCCTGGCTGATCGGATCCAAGACAGCCGGCCGCCAACACGGCGAAAACTAAGCCCATGAAGTCGATGTCCATGCCATATGGCTTCTCAGAGTAAGTGCCGGCCGTCGGCGCGTCATAGCTCCAGGCATTGCGAGTCCGAAGCAGCAACTCCACATTCTCAATGAACTGGTCCATGTCCGGAAGGACAGGGTACAGGGCTGACGTGACCTCGCAGTAGAAGGACACGTACCTGTTTGGTCCTCAGCAAACTAGTCTTGTGTCTGGTCCGGCTGT